TAAAATCAGAATTGAAAATGTAGAGGTGAGCAGAAATATGAATTGTTAAGTCTGCACGTTGTATTTGAAGATCCCATCACAGTTAAAAGTTTTGCATGGTACATGAAGGATGGCATTGTTTTTAAAGTATACCACAGAACCTGGCTGTTAAATACTGAATTTAACTCTCCTAAGAGTCAGCAAAGTTTATAAATTAAGAGAGAAAATGACATGTGAACAAATATTAACAGCCGGTGATTCCATGAATATGGAGGTTTCTGGGTTTGGCCCATGTCTTTAACGGGAAACGACTTTAAAAAAAAAAAAAAAAGGTATGCAAATTGTTAATTCTAATATTCTTGCCCTCAAGTGAATAAAGTTTACATGCTGTGACAATTAAACAAGAATACAAGAAAAACATTTAACATGGGAATTAACCTGTTGTAACTGTAATGTTTTGATACTATAATCACTAAAGTTAACTGATCCAGGAACAGTGGACTAGTTCTATAAAACCGTGTGTGTGTGTGTGTGTCTGTGTGTGCGCGTGCTGACACTGGAGGAAGAACGCACTGAGGTGGTGTGTGTGTGTGTGTGTGTGTGTGTGTGTGTGTGCGCGTGTGCTGACACTGGAGGAAGAACGCACTGAGGTGGTGTCTACAGCCACCTTAACAGATGGGCACCAGGGAGGGACCTGCACAGCGCCGCCCGCGGGGGGTGTGTGTGTGTGTGTGTGTGTGTGTGTGTGTGTGTGTGTGTGTGTGTGTGTGTGTGTGCGCGCGTGTGCTGACACTGGAGGAAGAACGCACTGAGGTGGTGTCTACAGCCACCTTAACAGATGGGCACCAGGGAGGGACCTGCACAGCGCCGCCCGCGGGGTGTGTGTGTGTGTGTGTGTGTGTGTGTGTGTGTGTGTGTGTGTGTGTGTGTGTGTGTGTGTGTGTGTGTGTGTGTGTGCGCGCGCGTGTGCTGACACTGGAGGAAGAACGCACTGAGGTGGTGTCTACAGCCACCTTAACAGATGGGCACCAGGGAGGGACCTGCACAGCGCCGCCCGCGGGTGTGTGTGTGTGTGTGTGTGTGTGTAGGGACCTGCACAGCGCCGCCCGCGGGGGTGTGTGTGTGTGTGTGTTGACACTGGAGGAAGAACGCACTGAGGTGGTGGTGTGTGTGTGTGTGCGCGCGCGCGTGTGCTGACACTGGAGGAAGAACGCACTGAGGTGGTGTCTACAGCCACCTTAACAGACGGGCATCAGGGAGGGACCTGCCGGGCCGGGCCGGGCCACGGTGGCCATGAAGAGCGAGGTGAGCTTGAGGCCAGGCCGGAGCGCCAATGGGGGGACGCGGACGGGGGCACGCACAGCGCCGTCCGCGGGCTCCGGCCGCCCCGGGCCCGTGGGGGGCCAGTGGGGTGGAGGCGGGCCGGGGGCGGGGGGCGCCGTGCGTTTCCGAGCGAACGGAGCGCACGCTCGCTTCTTCCCACAGCTCGCCCGCAGCCTCGGGCGCCCCCGGGGTGGGGTGCACGCTGAGCCCGTCTCCCCGGGACAGCTGGCCGTGCGCGCTCGCACGCCGTCGTTTGCGTCCCAACTCCTCCGCCCGGCCGCCCGGCCGCCCGCGGGGACGCACACACCGAGGTCGCACGCCTCCCTCACGGCCCTGCGGACGGCCGGGCCGCGCGCCGCGGGGCTGCCTGCCTGCCTGCCTGCCTGCCTGCCGGGCCTCACCCTCAGGTTCCCCTTGGTCCGCTGCTTGTTCTTCCCGCCCATGGTCGCGGTGGCGGCCGCGCTCTCGGTCTGCGGAGAGGAGCTTGACACCGCCGGGCCACAACTTCCGGTCCCTCGCGCCGGAAGGGGGCTCATTGTAGCGACTTTCCCCGCCCACCGGGGGGGGACCCTTTGGCAGCCCACTTCCGCTCCCGCCTCTCTGTCAGGACTCCGGCCACTCGCTGCCTGAGACGTCACAGAGGAAGTACCACCCACCCCCCTCCCGCGTGAGTGGCGTCACCGGTGACCAATAAGAAACCGGCATTGGGTCCGCCGCGCCAAATCCTGTCCTGGGTACTTGCGGCGACTTCACTGGGTACCGGTGTGTGGGAATTTGACTTCGGCTATGTTCTTGCACAAGATAGCAATGGAGCCGTATGGATGGTAGCAACTGTGCTAAAAAGTGCTAGAAGTAAAGGCGGTGATGCGATCGTCGGCATGAAAAAACTGATTCTCAGGGTAGACAGTCGGGCTCTACATTTAACTAAATTCTGGATACTGTTTTACGCTGTTATTTTGTAGATCTCCCCCTCTCTTCCACACTAAAATGTGGCACGAGTTGGCTCATTTGGAGAGTGCTTGCCTAGCTTGCACAAAAGCCTGGTCAAACCACTAGCATCCTCTAAGAATTCTGTGTGCATCAAAAGATTATCTACTATGTGTCTTTGATATAACGCAACAGAAAGTACTTAAGACCTATTAAGTATTCTTCTTACAAAAGAAAAAAAGGTCAAAGCAATCTAGCTGAGCTTCAGATCTAATTTACAGAATACAGAGGAGTATATAAAATGACATTGGCACAGACCAAGAATTCAGAATGTGGGAAATTCTACAAGAAAAATGGTTTAACGAATATATAGGGTGGGAGTAGGGAAGGGGAAATAATGTACCTAATAAGACAGATCATGCAAATAAAATGTGTGGATCTTGTTTGAATCAAATTATCTGCCAAGTAGAGGAATGTGAATTTAAATTGAATTTTTTCTATAAAGTTTTCTATTTATTTTAAATTTAGAGTGAGAATGTGTGTGTGTGTGTGTGTGTGTGTGTGCGCGCGCGCAAGTACAGATGCCCATGGAGGTCAGAACATGGTATTGCATCCCCTGGAGCAGAAGTTACAGGACTGAAGTGGCCTGACATGGACTCTGGGAACTCAACTTGAGTCCTCCACAGCAAGGGTTTGCTTTGTTTTGGTTTTGGTTTTTGGTTTTTGGAGACAAGGTTTTTCTATGTCGCTTTGGAGCCTGTCCTGGAACTTGATTTGTAGACTAGGCTGGCCTAGAACTCATTGAGATCCACTTGCCTCGGCCTCCCAGATGCTGGAATTAAAGGCGTGCACCACCATGCTGGGTTCTTAACCCTTAAAAAAGCCAGGGCTCTTACACAGAGAAACCTTGTCTTGGAGTTGGTGGAGGAAATATTACATATGGAAACACATACATGCCATGAGGGAAATATGTGAGTGCTGTCCACTTTCATGAGCGATCTGGAACCATCAGAGGGTTACACTGACCAACAGCACAGAGTGGAAACTCTGAAAAGTTTTTACTTCTTAATCTGGACCTTAACATTGTGGCCATTCATTGTCGCATTCTTACTACCTTCATTATACAATGTAAAAGTTTCTTTTGTTTGTTTGTTCATATTATTTCGGTTTTGTTTCAGGAAACAGAGTTTCTCTGTGTAACAGCTCTGGCTGTCCTGGAACTCACTTTGTAGATCAGACTGACCTCAAATTCATGGGTATCCAACTGTCTCTGCCTTCTGAGTGCTGGGATCAAAGGTATGCCCACCAAACCTGGCCAATATAATATTTCAAAATAAAATCAACAGGATTAGGCCAAGCATGGTTGCTCAGCAGGTAAATTTGTTTGCCTCTTTGCCTCCAAATCTGATGATCTGTTTAATTCCCAGGACCCACAGGACGGAAATCAAGAACTGCAAATTGTCCTTTGACCTCCACATGCATTGTGAAACACACACACGCACACACACACACACACACACACACCACTCATGCACGCATGCACGCACGCACGCACCAAGTCCTTGCAGCAGCCTCTAGGGATATCAGATTTTACCCAACTTTGTTAGTTGCTAAGGTCATGTCAGAACTCTCAAACACAGATAGTTGGTGTGTTGGTCTGAATAGGTATGACCCACATTGACTCTGTGTTTGAAGGCTTGGCCCATAGGGAGTGGTACTATTAGGAGCTGTGGCCTTGTTGGAGGAAGTGAGTTACTGTGGGGTATTGCTTTGAGGTTTCATATTTGTTCAAGCTACACCCAGTGTGTCAATTAGATGCAGAATTTTCATCTCCTTTTCCAGCACCATGTCTGCCTACATGCTACCATGTTATACCATGATGATAATGAACTAAACCTCTGAAACTGTAAGCCAGTCCCAGTTAAAGGCTTTCCTTTATAAGAGTTGCCGTGATCATAGTCTCTTCTTAGCAATAAAAACCGAAGTAAGACAGTTGGTCTGGCTGTATGTTAACAGCAGAGTAGTAACTGATATTCCCAGGGCTAGTGGGTAACGGGGGAACCTGAGGAGATGCGGGAGACATAAACATGGGCACTGTGCTTAAAAACCACTCAGATTCTCATCTGTGTTTGCCCTCCTTCATATTCAAATGGCCTCGCTGTGTCTCTTTGAATTCTACACTGTGCTATATAATAAATATTGTATTTTATCTACTAATTCATTCATTCGGTAGACATACACATTGCTTGTAAGAGAAATGGTTGGTTATCAACCCAAATAAAATTACAGAAAGTCATTTCCAGAATGAAAAATTATCAAACTTTAAATTTAGTTTGCAAAAATTAAATTCTATAGATATAGAGTCTGAACTCTCAAGGACTTTTGAAAAACTTCTGAGTTCAAACTGGGTGTAGTGTCACACACAAACCTTTAATCTCAGCACTCTAGAGGCCAAAGAAGACAGATCTCTGTGAGTTCAAGGCCAGCCTGATATAATGGTAAGTTCCAGGTCAGCCAGGGCAATACATTGAGGCCATGCCCTAAAAAGCAAAGAAATAATAACAACAAAAAAGTGTTTCAGCTCTGCTCATGCCTCATTCTTCAGTGAAGCAGGCACAAATAGGGGCCCGGTCTAAGTGCCCAGCTTTAGAAATGAACCATAAACTCCGATGAGGAAAAAATTTAGTGTTTGTAGGTTATAGTTTCAAAGCCAAAGCTTTGGGGGTGGGGAGCTTGACAGATTAACCTTTGGCTGCTGATAACAAGCACAGAGACGTTAAAAATTCACTTTATTTCAAAGGTCTGAAGATCACCAAGGATTAATGTTGGGTCCCCACGTGGTAAGTAGCAATGGCATCTCTGCAGTTGTCTTGGGCCATCCTTCCCTTCTCCTGCCATGCCTTCAAGATTCATGGCAGAAAGAGGAGCAAATTCATCCTCAGAAATCCTGCAGCTGTAACCTATAGACAGATAATAGCTTCAACAAAGGCCAAGGGCAGACAGGTTCCCAGGTTCCTCAGTAAAGGCAGACGGGTGTTGGAAACGCCTAGCAAGTTGAACCACCGAAACTACCTTCACATATAATTTGTCCTTGAAAAGTCTCTATGAATTACTTTGTTTTAGTTTTTTAAGACACAGCCTTGTGTAGCCCAAGCTGGCCTTGAATGCTGATACTCTTTTCTCTATTTTCCAAGTGCTGGGATTACAAGCATGTGCCATCATGTCCAGCTCATGTCAAGAAGTTTCCACCAGGTTGAAGAGATGGCTCAGGGGTTAAAAGTATGTATTGCTCTTGCAGAGGACCCAAGTTTGGCTTCCGTACCCACACTGGGCAATTCCCAACCTCCTGTAACTCCAGCTCCATGGGATCTGATGCCCTGCGTACATGTATGTATATATGTTTGTGCATGCACCCTTGCGGAGGACAGAGGCCATCAGATACCGTGGATGTATGAGTTATAGGTGATCATTAGCTGCCTGCCATGGCTGCTGGGAACTGAACTTAGGACCATAGTGACAGTAGTAAATGCTCTGAACCTCTGCGCCATTTCTCCAGGCTTCTCTGTTAGTAAAGTTCATAACCTGAACCTCGCTCAGTTCTTCATTCAGTTATGGCATGTTTTAACAGATGCATTTCAACTACATTAATTGTCTTCTTATGCCCCCAGCCCCATAACATTCTAGAGTGGAACAAAAATCAGAATTCGAGAAAGAATGAGAAAAAACAACCAGAGGAGGAGGAACGGTGAGGTGACCCAACAGGTCACGCTGCCCCTCTGCTCAGTCACTGTCCTTCCACACCAAAGTACCTCTGGAAAACATCCCCACACCCCCTGGCATTTAAGAACTGGTACAGCTGACCAAAGTCCATGTGGTTCCCTCTGGCTCCGTGGACACTGAAGACCTTTTCTTCAAAACTGGCAAATCTCCGCTGTTTCTCCATCCCATCCTTTGTCCCATCCAAAGGCGTGTCTTCTCGGTGGCGAATTAAAATCCTCTTCCAGTTTAGTTTTCTGAGTCTGAAAAATAGATTTTCAAGGTAGAACTTGTAAGGTACAGTTCTCAGAGTTGGGAGTGGTGGTACAGGTATTTAGCCCCAGCACATGGGAGGCAGAATGCAGATCTCTCTCTGTGAACTGAAGGCCAGCCTGGTCTACACAGTGTTCCATACCAGCGAAGGTTATATAGGGAGACCCTGTCTAAAAGAACAAAATAAAATATAACAAAACAGCAAAAACCGACTTGCCAGCTTATGTTTCCATAAATATAGAGGTAATCTCACAGGGACTTATATTCTTTCTTTTTCTTTTACTTATTTATTAATGTAAGAATACTCTGTCTGCACATAAACCTGCATTTGAGAAGTGGGCATCAGATCCCATTATAGATGGTTGTGAGCCACCATGTGGGTGCTAGGAATTGAACTCGGGACCTCTAGAAGAACAGCCAGTGCTCTTAGCCTCTGAACCATCTCTCCAGCCAACAAAGACTTATTTCTGTCAGAGGGTTCTGGTTATGATCCCATCTGAACATAATGATGATAATCATTACGAGCTTCCATTGGAACTTGATTTTTATTTTTAATAATTATTTTGTGATTATATTATTTTGTGAATAACATTATTTTGTGATTTTTATTTTTAATATTTATGTATTATGTGAACCTCTGGCTGGCCTCTATCTTGATATGTAGCCAAGGTGTAGCACTGAACTCTGGATCTTCTCCTTTCTAGCTTCAAAGGGACAATGTGTGACATACCTCAGTGCCTGGTGTACATGGTGTTAAGGGTGAAACCCAAAGCCTTGTGCATGTCAGGCAATCACTCCACCAACTGAGCTACAAACTTAGCCCCTGCTACACATATCTTAGGATTGTAGAAATTGCTGACTCTTAAATTGCTTAAGGAACTTCTCAGAAACTAAATAGAGGAATAAGACAAGTGGCTAGCCTAATCCTTGAAACGAATCCCCATTTCATAGGTTGAAAGTTTACCATATTCATCAGATAAGGGACATGTTATTATCATATTCTAATATCATCATATTCGTTACATTCATGGACACTAATAAGTTCCTAGACAGCATGGGGGGGTTAATTTATTCAGCTCATATTTACAGAGTGTGTATTGTGCTAGGTGGGGAGAGTAATGGCAACTATATGTGACTTCAGCCTTACCATCCACTTGAGACTGAATTCCCATGAAGATTATCTCCCCTGGGACATTATTTCTACTTGTTTCTACAACTCTAGTATCATCTTTCAAATCATAATTACTGATGTGATATCTAACAAAGGAGAAACCGCACCTTGACCAGAATTCTTCACAAGCACTTTGTGGGCCTTCTACACAAACCACACCAGGTTTCCCAGGCATGCTAAACCCAGACAGGGACAGTTCCTTTGCCCACTCTAGAATGTTTTTTCTTTTGCATTTGTTGTAGATGTGATGGCTATAAATCCAGAGCCTTGTGAGGGTGAGATCCAGGGGCTGGGCTGGGCTTTCCTTGGCGGGGGAAGGTGAGGCATCTCTGTTGACATAGTCAGAGGCATGCTCTCTAACCCAGTCTGTGGCGTTCAGTATACAGACATCTCCAAGACAGTTCTTCTGAAGGTATGCTATCAGATCTGTGTTCAGTTGAGTCTGTTGGGCTCTACTCAGTGATGCTGATCTGATAAGGAGACACAAGGGGGAAAAAAATAGTTTTCTTGGAGAAGGAAACAAATGCAATAGTTACTTTTCTTCTCACATTAATTGTGAGCTGTAGAATGGACTTGGTCTCTGTAACATACCTGACAGTAATCTCTGGCAGGGCTGTAGGGTACTTAAAGGGAAGAATGCAAGACAGCGAAAACGTCTCCTGAGAAGAGAAGGGAAAAGTGCTCTGAGCATTGTGTTAAGTCCTGACATGCTCTAGGTCTTTCCAAAGCACAACAGAATTACCACTGCTTCCTCAGAGAAGTCCAGGTTCATATTGATTGTGAAGTAAACGTGTGATGACCGTTCCTCCATCGTCCTCTTCTCAACACAGTCTTTCAGCTCCGCTAATGCCAGCTGGTCGTTCACTACGAGCTCATTCTCCCCAGGGAACATACTGGCCAGGAGGTCTAACTCGGAGAGCTGGGCCTCTGCCCATTCTATCTCAACCATGCTGAGACGTCTGCAATTTCCTGAGGAGTTACAGGTAAGAGTAAGGATTTATACACAGAGTCTTAGGAGAAGGCAGTAGCACCAATGGGCATTTCCTTTCAAAATACTTAGTTCCTTCATAAAAGAAAAAATTAGCCAAAGTTTTTCCTCTTCCATTGTTATATTCTAATACACAAAATTCTGCTTGCATATATTGTGTGTTATTCTACTTCGGATATTATATGCTACAGGCTGAGGCTATGAGCCAGTGCTAGAGAAAACTCCTGCTCTTCCAGAGTTCAGTCCGAAGTGCAGTGGCTCACAATGGTTTGCAACTCCAGTCCCTGGAATCCTATGCCCTCCAGGAGTAATGGCAGACATAATGGCATTCAGTCACACACACACACACATACACACACTCTCTCTCTCTCTCTATTTAAATTAAGTACGAGGCAATCCACTGAAATTCATAAAAATCTATGTAGTAAATTATTCTATATAGATAGTAAATTATCTAGACAATTCAGCTGACATTTCTAGTTACAATGGCCAGTCTCTTTGAAGAAAACAAACTATGTAGTCAAAAAGCCAGAGGCAGCCAGGAGTTTATGCTGTGTGTCTTTAATCCCAGCACCGGGGAGGCAGAAGCAGCAGGATCTCTGTGAATTCAAGGGCATCCTGGTCTACAAAGCAAGATCCAGGACAGCTAGGGCTGTTACACAGAGAAACTCTGTCTCAAAAAGCCAACCCCCCCAAAGAAAAAAAACCTACTTTAATAAATATATATATGTAAACAAATGTTATAAAGTCATTAAAATACGCATTGTAATGTTCATGAAAAGGCTACCTTAAAGCAATAAACAGAACCAGGATCTAGTGCAATGATATTTTTGGTACATGATCCTATATGCATGAGAAAAGTCAGAAAAGGAATGAACCAAATAGTTAACTTGAAAGACTTATATTTCTGGGCTGGAGAGTTGGCTCAGTGGTTAAGAGCACCAGCTGCTCTTCCAGGTGCCCGGGGTTCAACTGTCTATAATTCCTGTTCCAGGATTCAACTGTCTGTAATTCCTGTTCCAGGTGATCTGACACCTTTACACAGACAGGTATATGGGCAAAATATCAATGTACAGAAAATGCAAGTAAATAAATGTGTAAAATGTTTAAAAAAGACTTGTACTTCCTAACTTACACACCTTCAGACATGCAAAAGATATAGCTCCCGCTAGTTCCCATTTCTAAAACGGAACAACATGGAGGTTGTGAAGAGAAAGTAGTACGGCCAACTGGAAAACGGATGGGTGGACTGCCAGGTAGGTGTAGTGGCGCATGCCTTTAGTCCCATCGCTTAGGACGCAGAGGTAGGATGATCTCAGTGAGATTCTGTGTCAAAAATCAAGCAAAATAAACAAAGTGGTTCCTGTCAATAAAGTATTATTTTGAGCGCCTGTGATGATTGGCACCAGTCATTAGTCCAACAAATGCTTCTCAAACACACATGTGTGCCAGGTATTGTACTTGACAATAAGACTATAATGATGAATAAGAGTCACAATAACAACAACAAACATCCCTGTTGCCCCAGAGGTTAGATCTAGTGAAAGGAACTCTTGGCATTAAAAGTTTTCTTGTGCTCAGTGAATAACTGTGATGGAGAATAAACACACAGCAAGAATAATGAGCAATAGTTGGCTGAGGGGTGTGAGGCTATGTAAGGTTATGTGGCTAGTCTTGGTCAAGTTGACTACATCTGTCTGGAATCAACTTCCATTTGGGATCTTCTTGATCAGTTTCCTTTTAACTGGTAAAAACCCAGCCTAAACGCGGGAGGCATCTTTCGGCAACAGCCCAGATAACCAGGAGGAAAAGAAGGAAACTGTTCTTGGTCTGCTCACGGCAGTAGAAATTCACCTACCCTGTCCCTGTTGCCGCCTTTTGCTGGATTAGGGTAGTGGTGGTCAACATGAGTGATGGTCAGGTTCTAGAAATAGGAGAGTATGGGCTGGAGAGACAACTCAGGGCTGAAGAGCACCGTCTGCTCTCCAAGAGGACCAGGGCTCAATTCTCAGCACCCACGTGGCAGCTCACAACTGTCTGTAACTCCTGTTCCTGGAGATCTGACACCCTCACACAGACACACAGGCAGGCAAAACACAAACTCACGTAAACTAATTTATTTTTTTAAGTGAAAAAAAAAAAGTATGAGAGTAGAATCAACAGGGTTTGATGATAAAGTATATAGCTATGTAAGAATGTCCTCAGAGTTTAAACTCCTGAAAGGATGGGTTTATCATTGATTTAGATGGATATAATGGTGGGGATGTGCACTTGGCCTTTGCACATTAGGTAATAGTGTCTATTAATACATCTATTCAGTATCAACATCCAGCAGTCAGTCAGGTATACAGTTGAGGGGAGACAAGCATTTAGGCAAGCCATCAACCCTTAACGCCTGTGTAACTGAAATAGGGAAAAGGCCTTGGTCAGTATGGGGGTTTGGAAGTAAACAGAAGTAGCAAACCAAGGCAGCAAAGGCAATCCATGCTCGGACAGCTGCGGGAACGGAGTTGCTAATTAGTTACTTGCCAAATTATTTTTTGCTAAATGAAAATGTGAACTTGCTCAATGGGGGGGATCTTCCTTTTTGAGAAGGGGTCTCTCTGGCCAGCCTAGAACTCGTTATGTAGACCAGGGTGGCCTAAAACTCCCAAACACCCGGCTCCTCCGCATGCCCCCTGCCGGGACGTGCCACCACGCCCCTCGTGAGGCAGATCGATAACTCAAGGAACGAGACCACAGCTCAGGTCCCCACGTGTCACCTCAGCTGAGGGCGGGGCCAAACACTGAGGTCGGTTCTGACCAATGGGCGCAAGTGTGCATCCTCGCCCGCCAGTTCGAGACCCCCGTGGGGAGATGCTCTTAGTTCAGCTAAGCATGCACATCCGATGCCACACTCACCCAGAGCCGAGACCGCCGCACTGCCCACACCCCGGGGCTGGATGCACCCACAGCTCAGGTCTCACCCGCAGAGACACGAAAGAGAACGGTGCGACCTTTGAACCCTCCTTGAGGGAGGCCAGCTCTGCGGGCAGGCGCCTGCGCGTCAAGACGCAAGTCCCGGAAGCAGGAAGTCCCTCGCTCCTAGCTCAGGATGCAGGACAGTGTGTGGGACAGCTAAGGGATGCTTTGACCCTCCTGGTGCTGCTTCTTGGTCCCTGGATTTTATTCCTAACACTTGATAAAAGCCAGCATTCGTCAGGAACGTGTGAAGCCTATGCAAAAAAAAAAAAAAAAAAAAAAGAGTTAAATCCTTAAATCCTTTACCTCTGGCAGCAGGGACACGTGACTGCCTGTGCTACCTATTAGCATACTCAAGCGCATACACACACACACACACACACACACACACACACACACACACACACACACACACATATATCCATATATTCTCCAGCCCACACGAGTTACTTATCCTCCTTACAACCCTGTTATTCTACTATTCTCCCTCCCGCATTCTATGCTCTGCTCCTGCTTCTCTATCCCCTGAACTTTAATCCCAGCACTTGAGAGGCCAAGGCAGGTAGATCTCTGTGAGTTCTAGGCCAGCCTGGTCTTCAGAGCTAGATTCAGGATAGCTAGGGCTTTGAAGGCTGTCCTGGAACTAGCTTTTGTAGACCAGGCTGGTCTCGAACTCACAGAGATCCATCTGCCTCTGCCTCCTGATGGAGTGCTGGGATCAAAGGTGTGTGCTGCCACCTGGCCGTGATGCACATCTTTAATCCCATTAGTCAGGAGCCTGAAGCTGGCTGAGCTCTGTGAGTTCACCACCAACCTGGTTTACATACTGAGTTCCAAGCCAGCCAAAGTTACATAATGAAATCCTGTTTCAAAATAAGTAAGTGAAATAAAACCCACAACATTTTATCATCAGTAAAAAACAAGGTGCCTACACACGTGGGTGAGGGCCTAGGCCCTGATCCAAATGATAAGACAGACTTTGAAGATCCCCCATGGAAGGGCCTCACCCTCCCTGGGGAGCAGAAAGGGGATGGGATGGGGGGGGCATGGGAGGACAGGAGGGTGAGGGAACTGGTGTTTCAAATTTAAATAAAAAAAAAAAAAACCCTAAGTTTAAGTACACATTCCACTTGCCAGTTTAACCATTTATCACACTATCTGTTATTTATTTATTTATTATGTATATGGTGTTCTACCAGATGGGGGAATACCCTTTTGTATATATGTTTCTCTTTTTTTTTTCTTAATATATATATGTTTCTCTTATTGGTTGTTGAATAAAACACTGATTGGCCAGTAGCCACAAAGGAAGTATAGGCGGGTATAACAGAGGAGGAGAATTCTGGGGAGAGGACTCAGAGAAGCCATCAGAGAGATGCCATGTAGCCACCAGTAAGGTAGGATGCCTAGGCACTCTCCGGTAAGATAAGGCCATGTAGAAATACGTAGATTAATAGTTAAGGGGTTAATAATTAAGAGAGAGCTAGCCAGGAAGAAGCCTAAGCCATCAGGTAATCAGTTTATAAATAAGTCTCTGTGTGATTATTTGGGTCTTAACAGCTGTGGGACCAGGTGGGACAGAAAGTCCATCTACATCTACCTGCATGTTTGCCTGCACACCAGATCTTATTATAGATGGTTGTGAGCCACCCTGTGGTTGCTGGGAATTGAACTCATGACCTCTGGGAGAGTAGCCAGTGCTCTTAATCTCTGAGCCATCTCTCCAGCCCCATGTGACTATCTTAATACAGTTTTATCTGATGACTAATGTTTGAATAGTTCATCCATAATCTGTTAGGTCTCAAGAAGTCCATATATACAGAAATGAGTTCAAGTTGAAGTATTGAGAGATTTCTGGTGGTTAGACAAAAGCCAGCATCCCTCAGAAACATGAGGTTATGTCTTGTCCCTCTTCCCCCAAAGGACTCATTTCCCTTGTTCTTGGCCGAAGGGGCATAGATGGTTCTCTATAGCATACACGTGTGGTTGCAAGTTTTTCAAAGTTCATGTTAGCTCCCAGGCTTCCTCAGTCCCTATTCATAAATATCTACTATGCATTTCAAAGCCCTCACAGTGGCCTCCTGGCCACTCTCAGCTCAGACCCTGACTCTTGATACTCCTGCCCCTGCCTACTCAGATTATTTGTTTTTAATCTTGCTATCTTCAATCTTCTCTCCCACTCTCCTGCTTCCCCAACCCTGCCCATGTCCACTCTACTTCCTCTTTCTGCTCTAGACTCTTCCAGATGCCTTTGAACATTTTTCCTTACCTCCTCCCACCCCAATGGATCATTTCAGTGGTTTCTTTACCCCAGCCCCCTGCACTCACAACCAACTGTTCCTTTATTGTGTTGCTTACCTTGCTACCGACTTACACGTGTAACTTTCTCGGTCTGTTTAATTCGTGTTACAGAAGGCTTGGCAAAAGTGTGCACTTACTAAATTCACCAACGAACAGTAAATATTCAGAATAGTTTACACTGCAACATTTTCCTTTAATTCCTTTCAGTTTTGGTTTATGATACAGCAAAGTGAAGGCTGAGTTTGGAAGGATCACTAAGTTTGAGTACTGTCGTGGCTTCTTAGAAATGGCTTGCATCAAAAAAAAAAAAAAAGAAAGAAAGAAAGAAAAAGAAATGATGAGGATGATATTCACTTTTAAGTGAATATCCCGCCCGCCCGCCCGCCCCCCGTTTCCGAGGGCTGCAGCAACTCCACAAGCGGATCCTAAACCCCATCCCGGGCGGTCCGCGCACGCGCGGGTCCGGGGCGCCGGAATCGCCGGCGGGGCGGGGCCGAGCCATTTCCCACAAGGCCGCGCGCGTCCCGGAAGCCGCCTCTCCGGACGTGCGACTGACTGGTTCGGCGCCGTGGCTCCGGCTCTCTCTCCGTCACCGGGAGGGAGCGGAGCTGGCAGCCGGCCCCGGGCCCGTCGCGGAAGGCAGTTATGGGCGCCGTCGTCCCGGGTGAGTACGGCCCGCCACGCCGCTCCCGGCTCCCCGCCTTCCCGCCGCGGCCTCATTGGCTGCGGCTGCTGTCAGTCCCGGGGACGGACGGCCGGTGACGACTCGCGGTGCCGGCGACCCCGGCCCGGCCCGGCCCGGGGACCCAGCCCGCCCCGGGCTCGCAGAGCAGTTGGTAGGGGCCGGCGAGCGCCGCGAAGCTGGCGTGCGAGGTCCCCGTCACCCGCGGGTGACCCGCCACGCCGCTCCGCTCGGCGCCGCACAGGCTTCCCGCACCGCACGCATCTGTGACGGGATGGCGCCGCTCAGGCAGAGGGAGACCGGGGCGGGTGCAGGAGGGAAGCGATCGGCTCGGGACGAGGAGGGGCACGAGACCGGAGCTTTGGTTTCCGTGCGGCGTGCAGGCGCGAGCGGGTGGCTGATTGATTGATGGGTTGATTGATTGGCCCGAGGTGCCCGTTCTTATCCGAAAGCTCACCTGGAAGCCCGGCCGAGTATCGATGGTCCACGCTACTCTCCCCACCCCGCCCCCGCCCACCCCCGCGAGCTGTCAGTTGCCTCCGTAGCTGTCAGAATTGTACTGTAGTAGCTCGTTCAGTAGCACCGACTGACTGACCCCCCCCCCCCTTCGGGTCCGCCGCTTGCCCTAATTAAAATTTGTCTCTCAAGTTTTCTTTTGCTGACTCAACGAAAGAGGCGGTCCTTAAACCAGACTTTCTAGTGCTGTCTTCACGACTGCAGGCCCACGACTTGTTTGTCTGCCGTTTTCCTTTTCACCCGAACCCGTCCGTGCCTTCTCTTCTCAGGTACTAGTGTTTCATTGTTCGTTTAGTTTAGTTTAGTTTAGTGTTGAGGTAGGGGTGTGTGTGTGTGTGTGTGTGTGTGTGTGTGTGTGTGTGTGTGTTTGAGACGACCTCTGTAACTCTGGCTGACCTGGACACGTGTGTGTGTGTGTGTGTGTGTGTGTGTGTGTGTGTGTGTGTGTGTGACGGCCTCACTCTGTAACTCTGGCTGGCCTGGACTTCACAACTGCCTGCTTTGCTGTAGGAGTGCTGGGATTAAAAGTGTGTGCGTGCCATCACGCCCAGTCTCAGGCACTAAATGGTGTATTAACACAAGTTTTTCTTGACCTACTATGTGCTGACAGTATGATATTGGCAACATAGAAGTACTGCCCAGAACCAGTTCTTTCTCCTAAAATTTAGATTGCAAAGAGAAAAAAACAAGAAAAAACCCCAACATGTTCGGATTATAGGTTTGAAAAGCAATTTATTGCAGTAGAGAAACAGGTAAATGGGAGAGGGAGGGTTGGTAAGGTTTGGCTAGAGAGAGAAAAAGCACCTTGGGTATCAGGCAGACGTGGGGACAAGGAAGTACTGAAGAGATGGTCTTGGTCAAAAGGGAAAAAAAAGTTTTAGTCTCAGAACCCAAAGAACCAGCCCAGTGGTGGTGGCACTTGCCTTTAGTCCCAGCACTAGGGAGGCAGAGGCAGGAGGATTCTGAGTTCGAGGCCAACCTGGTTTACAGAGCAAGTTCCAGGACAGCCGAGTCCACACAGACACCTTGTCTTGAACCCTCCTCCTCCCCCCCTAAAAAGAATGTAGGAACTCAAAGAACTGAATTGTATAGGCTGGCATTTCTGCTTACCTTGTGGTCCTGTACCATTTTGTTTAAGAATATCTTCCTTTAGCGAGTGTCCTCATTTAAAAGATTATTGTGGAAATTGGGTATGGTGGTTTGGGAAGGACACTAATTAGAATTCACTTAATTATTTATGTTGAGGAATCATGAGTCAGGATTGCTTGTGCATTGGAGCCAAATTAAAAGGGACAAGTACCAGAGCGTAATTTTGGCTTTTTAATGAGTTCGTTAGAGTGCTGTGTTACAGATGGCATTATTTGAAGATGAGTCCTGCACTAATGTAGTACAGATTACAGGGGGTTAGATTGGCAGGGTCTCATATATCCCAGGCTGCTGTCAAGCTCAGTATGCAATAGTTGGTGATGACCCTAAATTCTTGACACCCATGCCTGTACCTTCTGAATGCCAGGGTAACTGGCTTGTGTGGTTTTGGAGACTGAGGCAGAGCTTTGTG